GGGATTGGAACCGACTCTCTTGAAGCGGGTTATATGCGTTCATACAAGGGCACTTTAGAGTGGTCAGGTTTGTCCAGACCATGTGATTAACTGATTCAGGACTGACTCATGCGAACTGAGAGTGAGCGACGGCCAAACATTTCAGGACAGCAGTGTTGCCATTGACGATATCACAAGGCTAACTTCACTGCGGAGTGGTGGGCCTTGTGGGCCAGGCGGTTTCCCAGCGGAGGCTCGCCCTGTCCATAGGAAGCCAGGTCTGTAGCATCGTGAGATTACTCGCCGTTCACAGTTTTGTTTTGCAGAGCAGTATGTACTTGGCAAGGCGCATGCAGACCTTGCATGCCACACTGAGCGACAGCTCTTCAAAGCCACCCATCCACAGCCAGGGCGACTTTCTAGGGCCAGACTACTCTGCGTCACCCTTCTTTGTGGAGATCCTGCACCTAAGTGCCTGTCAGGGCAGAAGCCCAATGAGCAAGGACAAGGACGGCACAAAGGTCATCACTGCCGGTGCCAGGACTTCGTGCCAACGCTTGGTGGCCTCCACACCGCCTTGCCACTGGCCTCAAGAAACAGCAGCACATGTGCGAAACGTGGCCGGGTGATTCTTTTAGATCTCACCTTCGAGTTCGGAATACATCAAGTGCTAGGCGTCGCCCTTAGGAGATTTGCCCAAGCATCTGAAGCCACTGTTCTTCAAAGGACCAGCCCGGCGCGAACCTCAAAACCCTGCAATCCTCTCCAAATCTGCACGGTTGCACACAGCAAGTTCAGAGCACGGCAGAAGCAAAGGCAATATCTCACCCATCAGAATTCGAGAGACTCCTCCAAAAACCCTTACAAGATTCTATATCAACCCTCTTCAAATCCTAGATTTGCATAGCCTAAACCCTAAACCCTGAACCCTAAACCCTAAACTAAACCCTAAACCCTAAACCCTAAACCCCAAACCCTAAACCCTAAACCCTAAATTTGCATAGGTCGGTCTCCCTCCCAGCTTGGGCTGCTGGCGACGCAGCAAAGCAGCAGCCGCGGGATGAGGCCTCGAAAGTCGGATCTTCGCTTTGGACTTAATATATAGGGTTTAGGGTTTAGGGTTTAGGGAATCTAGGGGCCTTAATGAATAGAATAGGGTTTGGGTGGTTCATTGTTATACCAGTATAGTAGGGGCCAAGGCCAAGGACTCAAAAAACTTCATATGGGGGCCTGAATTATTGGAATAGGGTTCCTTATTATAGTAACCCAAGGTCTAAAAAGACCTAATCTAGTGGCCTTCTTAATTCTTAGAATAAGGTTTTGGGGGGGTTCCTTATTATATTATACTGTACCCCAAGACCCTATTAAAATATCCTAAACCCTAAACCCTAAACCCTAAACCCTAAACCCTAAACCCTAAACCTAAACCCTAAACCTGGAAGTCTCAGACGCGGGGCTACAGTACTTGGGGCTGAGGGCCTTTTAGGGCTTTGGGGTTTCCGGGGGCGGTTACGGCTGTATGAGTGATAGAGCTTCAGGGTTTCTAGCGTTGAGAGCTTGTAGGCTTGAGGGTGTCGTGTTTTGGACTTAATATAGGGGCCTGAATAATTAGAACCTTGGTTTTGGCCCTGGCGGGTTCATTATCATACTTAAAGTATAGTATACTGTACCCCAAAACCCTATTCTAATAATTAATTAAGGCCCCTATATTATGTCTTTTTGGTCCTTGGGTTACTATAACAAGGAACCCTATTCTCATAATTAAGGCCCCTATATGAAGTCTTTTTAATCCTTGGGTTACTATAACAAGGAACCCTTTTCTAATAATTAAGGCCCCTATATGAAGTCGTTTTAGCCCTTGAGTTACTATAACAAGGAACCCTATTCTAATACTTAAGGCCCCTATATTAAGTCTTTTAGTCCTTGGGTTACTATAACAAGGAACCCTATTCTAATACTTAAGGCCCCTATACTAAGTCTGTTTAGTCCTTGGGTTACTATTCTAATACTTAAGGCCCCTATATGAAGTCTTTTTAGTCCTTGGGTTGCTATAACAAGGAACCCTATTCTAATAATTACGGCCCCTAAACCCTAAACCCTTGTAGTAGCCCTTATCTGAACCTTTAAGGAACCCTTTAACCCTGTTCTAATTATTAAGAAGGCCCCAAAATGAAGGCCTCTTTCGGTGCTTTGGGGGAAAGGATCCACGCTGAGTCGAGAGGCCATGGCGCTCGGCGCCGCAAGGCCAGCTCCTTGACCAGCTGCCGGCCTTAATGTAGAGGAGCCATAATAATAATTAGAATAATAATTACAGTAGTAACAATCATTAGAATAGTGATAATTAGAATAAAAATAATTAGAATAATAATAAGAAGAAGAAGAATACGAATTATAATAATTAGAAGAAGGTATTTGGGGTCCTTTCGCGTAAAATTATAATAAGGAACCACCCAAAATTAATGTAGGTAGTTATCGAGGCCCCGCTCAAGTCTCCAGTCTCGAATGTAACTTGCAGGGATCCTCTTCAAGGGTGTTACAGGGGTTTCTGTAGGGGTTCCAGTGGGCTGCTGCAAAGGGTTCACAAGGACCGCTAGTAGAGGGGCCCAAGGTTACCCGATTCTGACGATTCTAGCTCTCAAAGGGGTGCTTCGGAAAGCTATACTATCATATATATATATATATATATCCTAAACAAGCCTATGGGCCTATTCTAATTCTGAAGGCCCCGACACTACACCCCAACCCCGCTCTGGTGATCCTCTGGGCTCCCTGCGCTCTGCCCGGAGCATCTCCATGAGACCTGCAGCTCACAGTGGGATTCACAGAAAACGTTTAGGGTTTCAGGGTTTAGGTGTTGGGGTGGTCGGGTTCAGAGTCACGGTTTGTAGGGTTTGGTCGAGCTGGAGAGCATCCCGCGTGAGAGACACATGGCTTTCTTTTCGACGCGAACATGTGTGCCGTCAATCGCGGAAGCGCGATGACAAACGCCGTGAACCTCGACTCAACTTTCGGCCGCAGCATCTTCTCGCCGTGAACCTATTCACGACCAGGAGTTTAAGGAACTTCGCAATTGAGCCAATGCCCCTATGATAACACTCAGGACTCGGACGGGCCCATTCAGCTTGACGATCAAGCAAACCATCAAATGAAAGGCGGTTCTGCCAGTTACTGTACAGCAGTCACTCAGGAGGCACCGCCGCGATGATGTCCTGTGGTTCTAAGCCATCAATGAACCTGAGCTGCTCTGTGCAACTGCGGCTTCCCCTTTATGCCTCTGGTCGCCATGCACAAACGCCCACCCCTAGCTGTCTAAACCCTAAACCCAAAGCCCCAAACCCTAAATCCTAAATGTTTAAACGGACATAGAAGAAGGGCCTTTTGACAAAAACTTAGAGATGCACGGACAACTTACCTTTGGTTAGTAGGGAATGGAGGAATGGGGTACAATTATAACTACTATTAC